CCCCCACATAAACAAGCAGTGACGTCATAGTGAAATAGGACAATTGTTTTAGTATAAATACACAGGTGATCTTTCAAAAAAAAAGAAGATAAAAGACATTTTTTCCGGTAACAGCAACGAAGCGGCTGGCTGCCATTTTGGATTATCGCTGGAGGTGTTTATCGTGTGATAGTGTAATTTTCTTGACCAATCAGCCTGCGCAATTTTCAATAATCACCTGTGTATTTTTACTGTTCCATCGACCCTATGTAATACACCATAGAAGAGATACATTTCTGGATTCATTATAGCCAACATTAGACATATCATAAATAATAAGTAGTTCGACAATATTTCAGTGCTCTAGCACAAATGCTTGAAAAGGTAATGCATTTATTAGAAGGCTTGGCATGAGAAAATAAATTTTTGCGTGCACATCTACGTTCCTCGTAACTCCATAGATATTTGCCTTATTACCTTGAAACTGAGGACATTAAATGTAAATTTGTCTTTCTTTTTGTGATAAAATAATTCTTCAAGTAAGTGAGCATATTATTCAACAATAATAATGGGGAGTTCTCATGTAGTAAGTACATTTCAGTGCATTTTCAGGACTTTAGGGGCTGCATATTAAGGTGCTATTAACAGCCGTGCAGCTTTTGATATTGAATGAATTGTTAGTATATTATCATTGTACCTCCAAATTGGAATAATCTGTTGATCAGGATACAATCCCCTACACTTACACAAATAATTCAAGAGGTTCTTTTATGTCCCCCATTTATAGGTTAAAGGAAGGGTTGGGAGACAGGGCCTATGGTTTTAAGTCCTTATCTAAGATGGTCATTATTGCCTAAGGTCTATATTTTTAGCTTTCCTATTTGTCATCTTAAATAGCCCAGTTGCAAGAGACAGGAGATGCTATGCTTCAATAACCGCCTCTTAAAATTCCATCTTGTGTTTTTCAGGTTTTGGTTTTGTGTGCTTTTCATCACCCGAGGAGGCAACAAAGGCAGTGACAGAAATGAATGGACGGATCCTCATTTCCAAGCCCTTGTATGTTGCTCTGGCACAACGTAAAGAGGAGCGCAAAGCACAGCTGGCTGCTCAGCACATGCAGCGCATCTCTGGGTTGAGAATGCACCAGGTATGTTTTATTTTGAAAAAAAATTATTTTATTCAACAGTTGTAACAGAAAAATTGGGCAATACATTGCCACCAATCAGAAAATATAAAGGTACCTTCATATTCTCTGATTGGCGGCAATGTATTGCCCTATAGAAATAGATAAAAATAAATTGACTTTATTTAACGAGGGTGACATACATTACTGGTAACCCAGTAGTTTCCATTATGGCCCTCCTACAATTAATAAACTGAAAATGAAATGATCAAAGAAACAAGAATCCCAACTGGCAAGGAGGCAAACCAGTTGGCTATTTACAAGCATGGTCTAGAAACTGAATCTGAACTAATCAGAAATCAGGACAAATACAGTCTCAGCTAGTGGCCACAGCAGGGCTCGAACCCGGCATCACCAGATTGCAAGACCAACACCATGACCACTGATTTGACTGGCTTATAGTACATAATAATGTTCATATATATTCCTTATATTATTTACTGGCGTATAGTACATAATATATTAATATTAATTAATTAATATGTATAATACTGGCTTATAGTAC